CACACACACACACACACACACACACACACACACACACACACAATTTAATTTTTAAAATATTTAAGGTCATCTTTGACTGCCTATGGAGTTGGAGACCATCCTAAGCTGCATGACACTTTGTCTCAAAGAAATAATAACGCTAAAATAAAAAAACAAACAGGCAACTCCAAATTGAGACCCTCTCAAAATAAACAAACCCAGGGTGTGAGCTGGACTAGCTCAGATGTGCCAATCAGTGTGTAAAGTAATTATTAAAGCATTGGTTCCTCAAACCACAACTATGGAAGCTGGGGATCGCTCCTGTTTACTGAGTCAAGGTGAGAAGTGTTAGGAGACAGACTGTGGAATTTTCAGCTAACAGCTGTGCAGACTCACGGGGAGACTAAAAGGTCCCTTCCTGGGCTGAGACCCTGCATCGCTTATTTCTTCAAAGTCTCTGTACACGTGGTATCCTGCCATGTTCCAGACAATGCTGTAATGCTCCCTGTATCAGTCTGACAGGAATGAGCCCTGTTCTTCTAGAATTATGAATGACATTGATTTTTTTTTTTTTTTGAGACAGAGTTTCTCTGTGTAGCCTTGGCTGTCCTAGAACCGGCTCTGTAAAACAAGCTGTCCTCGAACTCAGAGATTCACCTGCCTCTGCCCCTGTCTCAAAAAACAAAACAACAACAAAAGTTACAGAACAAAACATACTTTATTCACATCTAGCAAAGTCCATATTACCTAGGCTGAGCGTGTTTGATACACTTGTTTCTTAGGTCCCAAGTTAAGACCGGGGCTCAGCCCAGATCCAGTGACAATTAGGAATTCTGTCCTTAGCTTACAGTAACTATACATGTAAGTGCTTTAACATATAGTGCAGTGAACAATATGAAGAACAGAGATGACTAGGTAGGGCCCCCTAGTGGCCAGTGAGTCACATTCCTTAAAGGTAAAATCTAGGGGATGAGGCCGGTCCAGAGGAAGCAAATGCAGAGCTCATTGAAGAGCACAGACAGGCATTAGCCCCCTCAGGGATTCAGAATCCCCATCTCTCCCGGTACAATAGAACACTTCAGATATACATAGAAGTCACATCCTTGGGGACGCCACTTCCTGTGCCTAAGGCTCCAGCGTCCTGGGTATGGGCGCCCCATCAGAGGCACAGCTACACTTCTGTACCCTCATGTTGGGCAGGCTGACCACCTGAGGCCTGGTCCTGCCTCCCTCCTTGATGCTGACAATCATGGGCAGGGAAGTCATCTCTGAGGCAATGCACTGCCGTGGCCCCAGAAATGGCCACTTGATGGTCAGGGACTCTGGGAGCTGCAGGCAACTGCCCACACACTCGTAAGTCAGGAACCCTGGGGGTTCGAGGATCCAGTTCTCCGCCCACTTCATCCCCTGCAGGTCAAGGTACATCTCTTGGCGACAGCATCGGGTGCCTTCAGTCACAGGTGCCTCCGGGTCACAATTGCCTTGAGCTCTGTGGGGATGAGACAGCAAAGGTCAGCTGAGAAGCCTAAAATCAGGGCATCTGGGAGGGAGAGTTAAGATCCAGCTCCCCACTGGGCTGGGCGGTAGTGACACAGGTCCTTGATCCCAGCACTTGGGAGACAGAGGCAGGCGTATCTCTGCGAGTTCAAGGCCAGCCTGGTCTATAGCGCTAGTTCCAGGACAGCCAGGGCTACACAGAGAAACCCTGTCTCAAACAAACAAACAAACTCTCACAGTATTCAAGAATTGGGCTGAGTGTATGGCTCACTGGGGGAGCACAGGTATATTGTGAAGCCCTCCCTGGGTTCCAACCCTAGCACCACAGCAAAGGAAACAACTGAACTGGAAATATATGTGGGGTGATTAGAACTAAAATAAATAACATTTACTGGGGGCTTCCTAACAGGCAGAGGGACTTTTCTGAACATTCACACACTCTGACTCGGTCATTTCACAGTTAAGTCAGACTTCCCGTTTGTCTCTGGATTTCGCTTATCAGTTTAGCCCCCAGCGCCTACCCGTAGTCCTTGAGGTCCAGCGTGTGCAGCTCCAGCTGTGGCTCGCCCTGTCCCTCGCTGCCCGGCGCCCCTTGCGCAGCAAACCGGACCAACTTGTGTGCGCTCCAGGTCCCCGGGCCCAGGTGCTCCCTCTGCACCGACACCTGCAGCAGCAGCGGCTGCCTCGGCCGGCTCAGCTGCTGCCAGAAGTTCACGGCCTCGGTCACGTCGAAGGCCTTCCAGCCGCTCTCGTAGACGGACACGAGCCTGAGACACAGCGGCGAGTCAGGAGGAGGAGTCTCCGGTCCCGTCCTGTCCCCATCATCCCGTCCTCTGCTGCTCCCCTCCCCCAGCAAGGCCGATCCGAGCTCCCCAATCCCTCCCCCCACCCCGCCCCCAGAGAGAGAGAGAGAGAGAGAGAGAGAGAGAGAGAGAGAGAGAGAGCTAGCTATAACCAACATACCTAGAGTCGATGAGGGCGGTGCGGTTGGAGCCGTCCTCGCGGAAGCGTAGCCACTCAATGGTGACCCGAGCCCGGGCACTGTGGGGGGACAGCCTCTTTTGCCTCCGGAGAGCAGTTCTGGGGACCGGTTCCTGGAACAGCCGCAGCACGGCCTGCACCAGCTCGCTATTGGGCGGCAGCCGCTGCTCCATGCCGAACACTAGCAAGTGTGTGGAGGTCTCGGACACCAGGAACCTGCCTGCCACCTCTGTGAACGTGGACAGAGTCAGTCGGGCCTCTATTGGCACCAGATAACCTCCAGAGCGGCAAGACCCAAGGCCAAGATTCCTTTCTAATCCACAGGAGAACTGGGAGCCGGAAGCCCATGAACACCGTGGAAAAAAGAGGTGCCTCTCCCTTTCTAGGGTTTGTAAATTTTGCGATGAGGCCCTGAATGTTGAAACAATCGGTAGGGTTGTGTCTTTTTTATTATCCACTTCCACCCCTGGTGGTGGCTTTGGAACCCTGTGCAAGGAAGGAGCTGGCTGGCGGGGTTCAAGGGCTCAGCAACGCAGGGTTCTTTGGGGAAGGTTGCGGAGAAGATGGGTGCGGAGTACAGAGTCAGGCTGCAGAGGCTGGAGACTGGAAATCCAAGGTCACTAGTGGAACTGTGCCTTTCTTAAGGGGCAGACTCTCTCGTGAGGATTTCTGCTCAATGGCACATCCATGAAAGAGGAACGGGAGCCTATGAACACCTTTTTTTTTTTTTTTTTTTTTTTTTTTTTTTTTTTTTTTTTTTTTTT